ATGATGATTTTTTTTTTTTTTTTTTTTTTTTTTTTTTTTTTAATTTTATAAAATTGGCTGTACTTTCTTTTTCACTGAGCTTTTATCCAATTGTTTTCTGGAACATAAGAGGACAAATGGGAATAGTGCAAATAGAGGACGTATTTCAAATTTGAGAGTAACGTCTCAAGTTGTGGTTAAGTGTTTAGCTGTGTCTTTTCCCGCACCAAAGGATCATTTACTGTCTGTAATCTTTGAGTGTAACATGTTATATACGCTAATCTTTGTGTTTTATGGCAGAAACTTTCTCTATGTCTCAGTTTGTGGTCACGATGAATACGTGAAAGCATATTCATTCTCAGCTAGTGCTAGCGTGGTTGGCTTTAGTCCTGTGTGCTCCTTTTCTTATTGATTTCTGAAGAGACAATTATTATCACAAAATCCAAGTCCAAGTAACAAAAATGAAGGAGGGAGCTATACATACCATATTAACATGGGACCAAACTCCTCTCCATTTTTCACTCTTTCCATTTCCCTAAGTCCCTCTTTAGGTTTATGACACTTGTTCAATTGAAATATCAAAGGTCCGTGTTTACTTAACTAAACAAAAGCTTTAACCATGATTAATAAAGTAGTAGATAATTACCAAGAAAATAAAGTAGTAGATTTTACCATTATTTGAGAAAAAAGTACGCTCATCTTCTTTTAAATAAGTTATTTTATTTTTATAACAAATATTTTTATATTACTAAAATTTCAATGCAACAGCAACAACATACCAAAAGACCCCCGGCTCCGGAAAATATAAACACCAAATTAATGTAAATATAGACAAGAAGGGACAATACCAAAAAGCTATATAAAAGCAGAATAAAAACAATAAGATAGAGGTGATCAACAATGAAGGAAACAACGGTTAGTCATAAAAAACTACCACCAACAGAAAGCAAGATTGCGTGTCAATACTATTGTTATTAATAAAATTTCAATGTTTGAAAAAAAAAATAGCCTGGGTATGACAAATAATTTGTAGTCTATCATTTTAGGCGAGAAATGCTCGTATATATGTTGTAGTAATTCTTTTAATTTAGGCAGAAAACCGCAATTCAGGAATTAAATAAAAAGATGCAAAACCTTAAGAATAATAGATGGTTTTGCTTTTTTAACTGTGCTTAACTTTGCAGATATGTGCTTACTTGTCTTAATTGTTTATATATTGTCTAACATATACTTGTTTGCCTAGTTTTAATATTGTTACTTTTATCACCAATTATCTGTTACCGCCATCACATACTTTCCTATCTAGTCTTGGTTGTACATTATCACACACAAATGACACGCGAGGGTTGTCTTCTACACTCCTCCGGACCTTCTTTCAAAATTCTCTAGTCTTAGAGAACGACTTTATTAGGTCAACTGACATAACGTCTCGCAATATTCAGTCCAACTCAAAAATTAGGAAACACTCTACTCTAACAAACAAAGGTCATGCTACATAAGCCTTAGGTCAGTCGGTCCTTGATATTGACTCATGATTAATAAAGCCACCTTAATGTCAACAGGTCATGTACCCAACAACATGCCTTTTGTGGAATGACGAACCTATCCGGATGAGACGCTAAAGATCCGGAGCAAACACTAACCAAATCCGTTCATCTCTTTAGATGGAAATCAACCACACTTGGGAGCACTGGCCGCTTTGATGAACATTTGAGCCGGCAAAGTCCTCATTGGACTACTGATAGAATTTTAGGATCCAGCTAAGGTGGTTTTCAAGTTCGTCAATTGTGAATTGACATCAATACTGGAGGAAATCACTAGCTTTACGAAGTTTCCGTTTGCCGAGAGAAAATCAATACTGCTAGTCGCCATGCCCGACCACAGGTTCCTTCATGCATTGGTCCTGACAAGCAACAAGAATTTGAAAAACATTCAAGATAGATGGGTGAGCTTGGACCAACTGTTCGATAGATTCAGACACCAGGAAAGTTACGAGTGGCATCTGGATGAGTTTCAATGCAATCAAGAAATGTGAGAGAGTCTCTGGCCCCTAACCTTTTCTCTAGCATTGTTGGGATTACTAGTCTTCCCGCAAAGAAAGGGACGAATCAACATCAACCTGCTGCCCCTGGTCTTGGAAACTATTCGAGGGAATCTGCAAGTCACCCTTGTTCCCATGATATTAGAAGAGACACTCCGGGCATTTTCAGCATGCTCTGGAGGATACGACTTCTTCAAAGGCCACAACCTACTACTCCAGATATGGGCCATCAAATATTTCTTTCAGAGGGAGGCAACCGTCGACTATTTTGTGGGAGTCAACAACATGATCAGGTGCCACAACGAGAGGATGAGACACTTATTTGCATAGCAAGGGCAAGAGGAGTGGAGAGACATGCTGACCCATATGAGTGGAGAATCGGTGAACTGGAAGCTTTTATGTTTATGTTGCAGGGCAATCTTCAGGAGCCCCAGAAAATACTTCATCGAGTTAGTGGGACTTGAAGGAATTCAGTCGTATGCACCTCTGCGGGTTCTAAGGAAATTTTGTTTGATCCACGACGTGCCCCTCTGGTCAAGGGCATCTTTATCTGAAGATGATTACAATGGACAAATTCCATTCCCAAGGGTGAGGAGACTTCACGATGAATGGAACAACTTGATCATGATGAAAATAGGTCCGAATTCCTGGTGCTCCTCCTGAGCACTTCATGTGGATCAACAAGGAACATGAGTTGGATCGACCTAGCAGAAAGGGATTGATCGGATTAGAGGATTCGGCAGCAGCTCTGCAGATCTACCATAATATTCTACTCCATTATCTTGTTACCATCGCCATGCATCGTCAAATGATTATAGGGTCAGTCGACAACATGTTGCCGCCACCAGAGTACGATGATCGGGTGATTGAGTACATACAGATTGAATCAGAAACAGAGCCGGAAGAGGATCCTGAAGAAAAGCTTAAGTACGACAATGTCAAGGAGAAGGAAGAGGTCGAAGAGGACCCTGAGGTGGATCTTAAAGAAGAAAGCTTGGGAGGTGACTCTGGGGATGATTATTAGTGGCTGGTTGATTTTCCTTTATCTTGTACCCCCTTTCATTTCCCGAAGGGAAAACCTATAAGCCTATGTAATGTTATGAACTTTGAAAAGTAATGTTGTAACCTCCGCTCCCATCTATTGTAATCCAAAGCCTATCAATGAAAGACCAAAGTTTGCTTCAGATCTAGACGTGTCAAATCTGATAGTACATCAAATATCTGCAACATAGACCTACCTCCGGCAAATAGAGGTCCTACATATCTTAGGAAACGTGTTTATCTGAATATGTGAACTAACTATCCTATGTGCTTATATTTGTGCAATTTCTAACTTCTATTTTTCTTTATTTTCTCGCTTTATTTCTCTTTTTTATCTCCCAAAAATAGAGGCTGGTTTGTGTTGATACGTAAGACTAGCTAAGCCACCATACAATCTGAGATCTAAGGGAAAGATGTCTGCAACCAACGACCTGGCTGGAAGCACTCTAGTAATAGCCGACAACCCAGGGAAATCGGGGGAAAAGAACGATATCCGAATTGATAAGCATGTTGCCAGAATAGCGTAAGAAATGGAGTCGCTAAGAGATGTAGTATAGCATATCCGGGAGCTGGCACACTTGGTCGTGACGACTCTTCCACAACCACCCCTCTTCCCTTCATTAGATTCAATCCCTAATCATTTCCCTTTAACTACCCGACAAACAAATAGCACCCCAACAACAATCACTGCAAATCCCCCAACCCAAGTTATACCACAGTAACCCCCATAAATCCGCCAAATCCCTCTATACATACACCTTATATCCCGAAGAATGTCCAAACACCATACAACACACCAGTCACTACCAACTTATTTCATACCCCCTCACGACAACATCACTTTTGCCAACAATCAGACGAAGCACATACCTATGGCACACACCGCCACACATGAGTGGTATGTTTCCCCTGTATATGCCACCTCAGAGACTACCTTTACAGCGCTCGTCACTGTTAGAGTTCCATACAAGATCGACCAATATGATAAGTTGGAGAAGGAAGCAAAGTACAAGGAGGAGGAGTGAGTGTCAGAACAGTTGCGATTGTTGAGAAAGCTGTGGAAGAATCTCCAGGTTGCTCAAGGAAGAGAGAGCCTGGATTATGAGCACTTGTGTATACATCCCGATGTTGACATGCCCGTAGGGTATAATCCTCCAAAGTTCGAGATATTTAATGAAACGGGTGATCCCTATGCGCATTTGATGGGCTACTGTGACAAGCTAGTCGGGGTAGGAAGGAATGAAAAATTGAGAATGAAATTGTTTATGAGGAGTTTGACAAGAGAAGTACTTACGTGGTATACCAACCAAAACCCCATGAATTAGAGAGAATGGCAAGACATGGTAGAGGATTTTATGAACCATTTCAGGTTTAACATTGAGATCACTCCAGACAAGTTCACCCTAGTGAATTTGCAGAAGAAACCCTAGGAGTCATTTCAAGAGTATGCTCGCCGATGGAGATCGATGTTGCCAAGACCCAACCCCTGTTGGACAATAATGAGCTAACAAGGTATTTCATCAGGGCACAAGAAGGGATTTACTTTTAAAAGATGAAGGGTATGATGGGTCAGAATTTTGTCAAGTTAGTTAAGATGGGAGACTTTTGAAAGAAGGCATCAAATAAGGCAAAATATTGTCAATGGCCATGCTGCAAGCTGCCAGAAAGGCAATACAATTTGGTTCCCTAGGAAGTGGGAAGAAGAAATATGAAGTATCAGCAATTATCCCCTATTATCAGTCCAGTCCTCCTCGTAGAAACAGTTCCCACCCCATAAACACCCATCCTTCACCTCAGCCCACATACTCCCCAGTATAAAACACCCAATCGTACTACAATGCTCAGCCTCAATA